AACGGTCAGGCTGATTAATCACTGTTAATGAACCATCAGGAAATCTGTCAGGAAGTGGGTAAAAATTCCTGACAGCTGATGTGGAGCACTGTGTGGCGTGCTTTGGTTTTGATATTTCCCAACTGATAGCCTCCAGTGGGTGCCGTTCAGTTACCTCAAAGGTCTGAAGGCATGTGAAGGACTGGATGGCCTGCTGCCACTGCTCAGCTTGAGTAAGTGAGGGAGAAATTTTCTCTGTGCAATGGCCATGCCAGTACAACGCAATATAAAAGCAAGAAAGGCAGAGATTGCTCCTTCCCACAGCTTCCCAGAACAGAGTCTGGAAGTGATACAGAAGGGTCGTTCCTCACTGCTCAGTCTGAGCCCACAGGGTACAGCAGGGAGCGGGCCAGGAAGCTTTCCCTGCTTAGATGGGGAGCTGGAGCTCTGGGACTTGGATACACAACTGAGTTAATGAATTGCTTTGTGTTGACCGAGGGTGAGGTTTCACAGTTGGCGTGAGCTGATCCAAGATCAGGCGGCTGCTGAGAGTGTTTCCCACCTCTTTCTCCTTTGCATTGGCTGTAATGTGGTAGTGTGGTGGCTTGCGGGGCTGGGTGCAAACTAATGCTTCCCTGTCAGTGCTGGCTGGCCCAGTTCACAACAAAGTAGGGGGGAATGGCCTGCCTCACTGCCTGGCTGCACCGAGGCTACATCTGATGTAGGCAAGGATAAAAACATGAGCGGAGACAGAGACTTTCAGCAACAGCAAAAATGTGCCTTGGCTTTTAGGCCTGCTTTGAAACTGCAGGCTGAATCACTGGAATTAAGAGTGCACTGTCAACCTAGAGTGAATGCCAGTTAAAATGTGTTAGCTCACACCTCCTGTGACTTCGAAGCAGTGGCTGATCGCAGCCGTTCTGCACACAGCCAATGGGAAGTGTGGTACAGTGAGGGGTGAAGTGCAGTACAGTGAGGGGTGGCACAGCCATTCCCCATGACATGGTCGGGAGAGGGCACAGGCCACATCAGCTGGTGTCAGTGTGCGTTTGGGAGGGCAGGAAGAGAGGAAGGGGCCGGCAGCTCTGCCAGGGATTGGCTCGCTGTCTTTTTCTTTGGCTCAGCGTAACATATTCAATCTCGTCTTCCTGACAAGACTGCAGAAATGCTCAGTTACCAGCACACAGATTAAGCACAGTAACACGGTCGTGGATCCAGACCCTACAAGTCTGAGGCACAGTCTGCTTCTCCTCATACTTCTCCTTTCACTTCAACACAAGCAGCTTTGCTGAGCTCAATCTGCACCACTACAGCAGAAGATCTAAAAAGGGGAGCCCTGCTGTTTGTTTCAAGCTCATTTGTTGTTGTTGTTTTTTAATTGCAAAATGTAGTCGTTCCATTTTAAGGACTTTTTATCTTTTTGTTCCAGCTCAAAACTCTGTGCACAGATAGAGGAATAACTTTGTTAGTGGAAAAGCTCTTTGCAATTTTCAAATTCTTTAAGTTTTACAGACGTGCGGGCCTTTCCTGATGGTATCTTTGTGTTACGTCTGTCGTTCGGCTGCAGGGTAGGCAGTGGTGCACCCCTTAAGGAGTGCTGAGCACATGTGACACAGAAGGGTAACGCTCACAGCATAATCCAGCGTTGCAGTGTTGCGGAGTGATATAAATAAGACAGGAATTCTCCAAGGCCTTCAACAGAGCTGGGCATCTCTGTATGGCTGTGTAGTTAGGCTGCACTAAATCGGTGTAATACTTGGGCTGCATTGGTTGTGCACTGCTGTGAATGCTCCTAGGAAACCATAAGCTTCGTTACAAGCCAGATATTTGATCCTATGTTAGAGTGCAGTTTTTTATAGCCTTTGCTGTTGATTTATTCACTGAATGAAGAGTTTTGAGTTACAGGCAAGCCTGTAACGGATCTGTTGTTTTGCCGTACAACACACTGTCCCTTTTAGGATTTGGCAGTGTATTCTTACAATGTCTTAAATTCAGTGAAGTGATGGCATATATGCAGGGCGGACCTGACTGTGACTTCTTGAAAACCAGCCGAGGAAGGTTTTCTGAGGCTCAGGAACAAGGTCAGGGCTTCAGGAGCCAACGGTCGTGATGATTCCTGCATTGCTGCCATTACTCTTCCCCAAGAGGACAGGGCAGGAGGGCGAGGGGTGATCACAAGGTCATCCTGCACAAAGGCAGTGCAACTGTGGCAACACTGGGAACTGCAACTATTGCACCTCGGCCTCCAAATATTTCTGGTGAACGAGTCATCTTATTGTAGAAGTGAAATGCATCCTATTATTCTGGGCACAACTGATTGAAAAATGCTTTACTTGCTGGAAATACTGTTGAACAATATAGTTTCCACTTACAAAGCAATTTCTATTAAAAGCTTCTCAGGGCAGCATCGTATAAAAATAGTTACACTAAAGTTGTGAACCAGCTCCTGACAAATCAGGGCTAACAAAAGCTAAGGTATAAATAGAAGTATTCTCGTGGGTTTTCTCTTCTCTAGAGGCACAGAATCTCAGTCAGTGCCGGATTGTGATAAACAAAAATGCCCTTTTCCAGACACACAGGAAAACAAGGGCCTTCCAGACATGTGGCTTAGAATATAAATAGGTTTTAAACACTGCTGCAGAACCATAGCACTTAGTGGAGACCATAGCATTTGCATTTTAGAACTGGGCACCCAGTATCAGCCTGATTTTATGATCTAGTTATTTATTTAATTACATGCAAACTGGCATCCCCTGCTTTACAAAAAGGTCAAGTCAGTTATATTTTTATAACAACGGAATGAACTGACTCCGGGCACTCGAGGATATGAGGATTATCTCAAAGTCTGCAATGTATTAGGGTTCCTGGAATACAAATACTGAGGAATGTAAAACATTACAGGTCCCGTGTTTGTATTTTGTCGGTGGGCAGAATAAATGCATCTTACTGGTCATTTTCAAAATCATTATTCTTGTAATTATTCGTTTTTTGAGGCTGGTAGTTTGTTACCTCCACTAATAATAATGACCAGAAAGACAATGCTCCATCCTGTGCCACTGCCACGTAGAGTTTATGCCATTTGATACCAGATACACTGAGTGCTCCTCATTAAAGTAATACCTGGCCACTTACGTTACGAAGTGATCGACTGTATGAGAAATATTTCACGTAACAATGACAGGGGCTTCCTGCGAGCACTGCAGCACAACAGATCTGCTTGTAGAAATATTACTTCTGTCTGCAACAGAGGTGCCAAAATAGCTTTAATAATTAATCATGTGCTGATTAGATTATACATTCTGGGATGGGCCAGAGATTTCTGTATTATGTATCAGACAAAAGATACTGGCAATGCTTAACTAGCAGTCACCTGTTACTGCTCCACCTGGCATTGTGGGAGCGCTGTGGGAAGCAGGGCTGAGACAAAGGCCTCGCAGACCTTGATAAAAACCCTCCCTGGCCCCCGGTCTGTTCAGCAATACAGAACTGTTGAAACAGCTGCTGCCACAGCTGCACGCTGCAGTTACCAAGGTGCCGTTTGCCAGGAGACACCCTGCTTTGTGCCCCACTGCAAAGGCGAGGGCAGAATTCAGGCCGGGAGGGCGTTAAGCAGGGAGTTTCCTGGCTGGAACAGCACAAACAACTGCTGCACAGGCACGGGCAAGCAGAGAGCGGCACGGCACAGGCATGGGCAACCCGTACCTGTGCTCACCTACGTCAGGGCTCCCCTGCAACCGCCGTGCTGCTCTGCCCCATCAGCTGCTTCTAACAGATTGCTGTGGAAAATGTGTTTTTTGTGGAGAACCATATTACGTGCAGCCGATTCTATGGTAAGTATGAGCTTAATAGTGAGAACCACTAGAAATGAAAATTGGAAAATTACTTCCTATCTGTAATTTCCAGTTAGAAGTTTTGCTCAGCTGTCTTAACTGCCTTTTTCCAGGCCCTCTGCTCTCATCCCATGACTCTGGCAGCCCTCTGTGTCCTTAGAAGGATTTATTAGAACTGCAGCAGCAAACCCCCAGGGGAGACAATCCTTATGCTGGTCCTCAAATAAGATGATAGCGCCAGCGTGTACAGTGCAACAACGCTTTGCTGAGATAACAGTATGATTTAAGCAAAGGCACCTGAGAGCAGCTTCACGCCACCAAGAGCTGTTATCAATGTGGCCTCAGAAGTCAGGCCAGTTTTGGGGGATGGAAGGGTGTGCTTCAGGAGGAGGGAGGGACACTCAGCGACATGTGCAAATGAAGTTAGAAGTGATTCATCTTGCCAGTTGTTCAAAACACTACAGAACAAAACAAGAATTATTGTTAAAAAGGGAGGCAAACAGTTGTCATTCCCCGTTGGTCAGAGCAGAACTAGCAGCAGCTCCCAACAAAGGCCTGTGGACAGGCAGCTGAAGAGCTGCCAGAGCCCAAGGTGACTCAGCACAGGTGGCAAAGCGCACCCCAGGAATAAGATTGGTTTACACAATAAGACACAGCACAGACCTTTGCCAGTGGGAGCTTCTTAATGAAAAGCAGCTAAAGTCTGGAGGCATCAAACTGTATCGTTCTGCAGCTAGGAAATTTACAGACACCACAAGCCACGTGGCTTTTTTTTTTTTTTCCCCTTTTTTCTGTCTCTTCTACCACTGCGCTTTATGAAGAACAGAAGTTAAATAAGAAAAAAATAGCTTTAATGAAACATTCAGGTTGAGAAATCAGAATCAACATTCCAACAACAGGAAGTTTCAAAAGCAGTGTTTGTAGCAGCACTTTTGCTGAGCTGTAGCACACTTGCCTTTCTTTTCTCTGAACCGTATCAGAGCACGTACCTCGATAAAAGCGTTGGGTTTGGAGTGTGGTATTAGTTTAGAATTGCAGCATTTCCTATGCATAGAAAAGTGAATTGAACTCAACTCTTGGATGATTTCCTGACTCCTGCAGTCAGTGCTACAACTGTTGTCTTTCCAGTAAATGTGTGTGAATTGTTTCCCTGTGTGAGCACACTTAAAGTTGTTTATTGTTTTATTCTAGGGAGCTGGAGACAGTTTTGTGGGAGCACTGGCCTTCTACCTGGCTTACTATCCCGAGCTGCCCATGGAGGAAATGGTCAGGAAGTCTAACTACATTGCATCAGTGAGTGTCCAGGCATCAGGGACACAATCTTCATATCCTTACAGGAAGGACTTGCCTCAGGACCTTTTCTAATTGATATTGTCTAGCTCAGTGTACTGATTTTATCTTATCCCAGACAGCATTATTCTCCTGACTGCACAGACGTTCCCCTCCACTGACTGGAAAGACCAGGAAAGTCTCTTTGCTTATTTGAGAAATCCTATTAGTTCCTGTTCTGCAATAGTAAAGATGGGGCTGGGATGGTTATCTTCCCAACACAGCACAGGCGGTCTGTCCAGCCCCACACATCACGCCTGAGCCATCCCATCCAACCTACTGTGCTACGTGGAATGCATACAAAGCTCACAGCAATGCATCAGGAGGGTTCTGCGCTCCTGCTACATTTTGACTTGATTTTAATCAGGCCTTCTGATACGTGATGCCAGGAAATGAAGCTTTGAAATTGTGACTTTGGTTCTCAGTTGCAAGCACTGAGGTCAGTGTTCATCAGCACTGGGCTCACTGAATACCCAGGGGTCAGCTCCTCCCCATCCTGCAGCTCATTGCACAGCTCTGGGTACTGAGCTCTTACACGCCTTCCTACGTGCCTTGGATGGGAGCTGCAGCATGTATTGGGTCCCTCACAGTGGAGGGGGGCTGACAATGCTACCGAGCCCAACTCTGATACACATCTGTAGCCATACTGCTGTAAAGCCTGCATGAGACAGCTGAAGGAGAAAACCCTCCAACAAAATCTGCCAGAGAACAAACCAGAGGATTGATGTGATAAGCTACTTTCTTCATGCTTGACAAAAGCCCCAAGTTAAAGCCCTGGCCTACTTACCTGACTTGGAATAATATCACCCTATGAGCTGTGGTCACGGCTTATCCAAAAGTGTCTTATCCCACCTGCTGCCCACTGCTGCTTCCTAACCTAGGAAGAAGCTGCTGCAATGCTGCTCCTCCTAGGAATGCCACTTCGTGATCACTACTGTTCAATCTGTGGCTGGTAGGTTAGAAAAACTTGCAATCCTGCCATTGAATTCCCGCTGTGGAAAATGTTAATTTTTATTGCCTTTAAAAACAATAGTTCCTTTGAAGACTACAGCCTCTTTCACAATGGAAAACACAGACAATGGGATCTGCCATTTATTTTTTTTTAATTGAGCACTGTAAAAATAACTCAAAAGATAAATAAATGTTACTGTGATGATCTATGTTCAGACATTAATAATTTTCTCTCTCTACATTGTTTTCTTCACAATGGCCTTCAAATCACAGGAGACGGTGATCCCAGTTCATTTCCTCTCTTTTCAGCCCGTGGTGCAGGATTTCTGAATCAGCATTCACCCTGTCCTCCCCCCGAACCATCCTCTCCTCCTGCATAAATCAAGTCCAGTCATTGTTCAGAGAGAGCGGATCTTTCTCTTCTCTGTGAAGAGGACACGTTGTTTTGCTACAGAGAAAAAAAGAATCTATTAAGAACCCTGAAGTGTTAAGATCCAACTCAACAGGCCTACATCCCTTTCTCCTGGCCGGCTTCCCTGCTTAAATGAACTGTGACTGGCACAGTGCTGCTGTTAATCAACTCTTGATGAGGTTTAGTAGTGCTTTTGCTTTACTGCGTGTCATTTTTAGCTCCCAAGAGGTCGGTTTTACCTCTGTGAAAATAAGTATTGGGATTTCAGCGGGTGAAAACATTCAGCAGCTGCTCTGACTATTCTGAGTCACAGCAGTTTGATGCAGGGACAAAAATAGGTTCTTTACTGCTTTCTACTACTCTCCGGCTTCAGAGCCCAAATAACTACAGCTGACAAGCAGCATTTAGTCATGCTCACACATCAACTGACAAGCGGATGGGAGCCTGCCTCTAACACCTGATGTGGACCTTAGCAAAGTCCATTCAGCTACATATTAAGCACAGTGGATGCACGACTAAAAGAGAATCCAAACAAAGCTCTTCAATGCCATTTGAAAAGCACCGCTGCTCTGACTGCACTTCATTCTATTCATGCCTTTGAAAGCAGTGCAAGGACAATCCACCCAGTAACAGAATCACTTCTTCCGCCTAAAAGTTTTGCTTTAAGAAATACTCCAACTTAGCAACGCATTCTGTTGTTGCACTTATGAGGTAGTGAAACTTGGGCACTACTGCCACTACTTCACTAAAAGCTTCGTTCTGTGGAGGTCCCGGGTTCCTGAGAAGAACAAAACATAAGGTGATAATGCATGCCAAGTGAAAATGCTTCCTAACATATTCCTGATGTGAGCTGCTATCTAGACTCCAATTTGCTTCCCTTCACACATGCAAGCACTTTCTCACATCAATTTCTCACTTGTTCTCTACTACAGACTACAAAGAGCAGAGCTTTTTTTCTTAATTACTTCCAATTTCTTCCTTCAGCAACGTACTACACGTTCTGCTAAACAAGCACTACTTTGCCTGAGCTCTCCAATCTTCCCACAGTTCTGCAAGTTGCAAAGTTTCTGGAGGTTCATTTTGCACATAGTTCAGAAGTAGGCAAGAGAATGCTAACTTGAAGTCTTCTTATTCAGGGAATAGCCCCTGCAATCTCTTATCCTCCATGGGTATGAAATTCAGGAAAGCCACAACCTCCATCAGCACAGGTACTTGGATGAGTGCATACTGCTTCCCCCTTAGTTTCTCTCACTCGCCATTAAGCTCCTGGACTGTTAGATCTGGGCACGACAAGGTCCATCGTCCAACAGAAATGTAAAATTATGTTAAAAAAAAATAATAATAATAAGCCTGAACCACATAACTACCAGCCATAATTACGTCATTTACTTAGAAAAGCTCAATACGTTGTTTATTCCAGACTTTTTTGCATCAACTTTCCCATGCCATTTGTAGCCCTGTCTGGTTTACTTTCTGCATTTACCCAAATTAATCATTTTAACGTTAGCTGCAGACCACTTGCTGCCCTAGAAGCTCGAGCTCTGCCACCTTTCAAAAACCTGGTGAGTAAAAGGCTTCTTGGGAGTGTTCCAAGCCCTGCCAAATCAGCTACTTAAACTGGAAGAATCTACAAGGACCAGAGCAACATAAAAGAACCCACAAATCATCATCTGGAGAGTGGTATCATTCGTGGAGGAGGAAGAACTTGTGCTTATCTCCTTAAAAGAAAAAGTCTAATTTGGAAGTGATGGCCAACATTTATTGTCTGGAGTACCCAGGGCAGCTGAACAGAACGTTTCTATTGAAGCATGCTGCATGCTAGAGGTAACTGCCTAGCAAACCACACAAAGAAACAAAATGAAACAACTCCTGCGTCACTCAGTTTTGCCACTGACATGTGGCATGGCTGTCAAAGACTCTGATGTGCTGGACAAGTCATGACTTTGTTTCAGTGCCACAATCTGTAAAATGAGAATAACGTTAACTGCCCACTGGAATGTCACGAAGAACAGCAACTGTACAGTCATGTGAACATCAAACGTGTTATGACACATTCTGCTTAGATTGGAAAAATCCTGCTACAGTCAAACCTTTCACCCCAGACAGCCAGAGCCGTTATTACAAAGCAGGCTGACTGCTACCCCAGATCCTTACCAATGGGATCGTATCTCAGCAGCACCAGCTTCTCCTGCAGTCGGAGCCTCCTGACGTTGAAACAGTAACCAGTCTCTGCTGCACTTTTCATCCTCACCAGGATGTACCTGAAGTCACAGGGGTATCTCTATGTCAGCAGGGGTCCCTCACGGTCTCTCACGGCACTGTCATGACAATACTCTTTGGATAAGCAACCTGGCACATTAAGATATTTCATTCCAACTTCATGGATATTTTGGATGGGAGCTTTAAAACCATATGCTAACCTTATTGTAACAGGAAAAAAACATCCACCAGCCTGCAAACCTGAAATTCAACCATCAAGTTTAACTATAGAACTCCTGGGTAGTTCTGATCAGAGTGAAGTAACTCTTCCATCAAACAGGGTAAGGAGTGAGGGGAAAGAAGAGGAAAAAAAAACAGAAAAGAAAGAAAGAAAAATAATAAACATACAGTTGAGTCATTGCATCTTAAATGATAATGGCAAGAAAGGGAGGATGATGATAAATTGTGGATAACACAATACCTCAAACTATCACTTCCACATGCAGAGAGGAACTGAGGAGATAGAATGGAACAAGAGGCACAAAAAAAGGAGAAGCAGAGCCCCCTGGCACCCTGCATCTCTCTCCCAAGGAGCAGGACTTGACGTCAGCTCAGCCACCAGGAGCCCTTTTCCCTACAGAAAGTCTCTGTGTGCATGGAGTGGGCTGGCAGCCCCTGGCAGCAGGGCAAAGGGGGCTGAGAAAGCAGCCCCAGGCCCTCACCCAGGCAGCCTTCCAAGACTTCCCAGAAACAGAGGGCATCTTCTGCATTTCAAAAGGAAGGCCAAAGCCTTTAACCGGTCTGTAAATTATGTCTTCATCTTCCACTGCAGTAAAGGGCTGAATACAGCTCTGTGCAGGGGCACTCAGTTCACTTTCCTGGATCTTTCTGCTTCCAGTACCAAATGTTTTGTCAAAATTAACTCTGGAGAGCCACCCATCCTTCCTCACTTGCACAGCTCTGACCACTGTCCCCTCCTCAGCTACCCCTTTCCACGTTTGCAATCTAATTTACTGGGATTTAAAAACAAACAGAAAAATTGTGGATTCCTTCACATCAACTGACCGAGCATCACCTAGGGACTATCCCCAGTGAATGCCCTCTCCTGCACACCACGAAAGCTATGATGTGTACCCCAATAACCACACAGCCTCCTTCCCTTCTTCTTCACCCACTTCCTCAAAGCCTGTGTGCAGAGTTTCCCCTTTCTGGGAGAATCAGTGGTATCAGGATGACCACGTGTTGAAACTCTTTTGAACCACACAGTTGAAGCCAAGTCCTTTCTGAACAATACACCTCATTTCATAAGACTTACTGCCCAAAGAAGAAATGTGACCAGGAGCACAGGAGAAAAGAACAGTGGAATGCCACCAGGATGCGCAGATAAAAACAGGGAGCATGGATGTAGAAGTACTGTAAGGAGACAAGATGTTCCTTATGTGTACGCAAGACCACACAAAGAATGAGGCAAACAAATCACTACACTACTGATACTATTTTTCATCTCAAGGAAACACTCTGCTGTGCTGTGTTCATTTCTGTGTAGAAAGGTGTCAAACTGCAATTTTTCCTATCACATGCATATGTAGAAATCCTTAGTTTCAAAGATGGACAATTGCACAGAAATTCTGTAACAGAAGAATCTCTGAACATAACAAGTGGATCTTTTTGAAGCTGATCCTTAAAAAAAAAAAAAAAAAAAATTAACGTTATAATTTTTCAGTCTGTGCAATACTGAATACTTGCACAGAATGCAGCTTCAGAGAATAAGGCAAGAACGTATTGCTACAAATTGGTTCAGTTTAAACCCTTGGTTTGTTGAGCTAAATTCCTGGTAAGTAGGAATGCAAGTCATTTTCTCCATGTGCTCCTGTCTCCTTACACCTACAGTGTAAACCAGCCGTGTGCAGAAAAGTATATATTCCTTCCCCTCTAACCCATCAGCTTTCTGTACAGGCCAGAGGGCTGCGGTTAAAGCTCTCCCAGAACCCACCAACATCTCCCCTCAGCAGAACTACAGAGCAAATTATAGAATGGCCTGGGTTGAAAAGGACCACAGTGATCATCTAGTTTCAATCCCCCTGCTATGTGCAGGGTCGCCTACTATTAGACCAGGCTGCCCACAGCGCTGACTGCCCTGTCCACTGCTCACAAGCCAACATACGAATGCAGTACAGTGGGGAAACTTTCTGCATCCAGCCTGGGAGAGGCTCAGAGCACCGCCTCGAGTCTAGCATACAAACATGAAGATCTGCACTGCACTTCAGCTTGTCCTCAGCTGAAAAAGCATGAAAGGTCAAAAAGAGAAAGGCTAAGTGATGATTTATAGCTTCTCCATAAAGCATTATGGAGGTGAGGATCCCCTGCACAGGGCACTCTGGGTGCTCAGCTCAGTGATGGCCCATAGAACAAAACCTATCTCTGCTGCAATTTTGGAAACTAAGTGGCTTTTTTCACAGCACTCTGTACTCACCTGTGAGAAAGGCACACGTGCTGAAGGGCAGAAAGGGCACAGCTAGAGTCGGGGTCTGCAATTCTCTCACATGCATTAGAAGATTATAAATGGGTGCAATATTTTACTAAGTCACTTTGATAGAGAGTGGTAGCAGGAAATATCGGATGGTAAATAAAATGTCACTTACTTAGATTTGCTCTTGGCCACTGTTATTTTGCAGCAGGAAGGAGCAGGGGGAAGAAAAAGAAACCACATATCATTTAATCTCATCTCCTTTAAATGCAACACACAGAGATCAGAGCTGTCCACTGCCTGGTGCCCTGATAGCCCCAGAGAGAGCGTGCCAAGAGATTTACTGTCGCAGGAGTAAAACGAGTACACGAGCTGCCTACTTCCAGCCGCCCGCTCTCTTTCACCACCGTACCACCGCGTGACGCGGCATCCAGCCTTACGGCCTCACGGCCTTCCGCCCGACGGCACGCCCGGCCTCGCGCCTCCATCGCGGCCCGGCAGGCGGCCGCGCGGGGCACGTTGGGAGCGGGCGGCACAACGGCCCGCTGGGAGCCGCAGTCCCGCTGCGGGGCCGGACGAGCGGCTCGGGCCCGGCACCGAAGGGAAGGTCGCGACGCTGACAGACTGTGCTCGGATCCGAGCTGCGCCTTGCCGGCGGCGCGGCCCGCCCCAGCCCTCGCCCTCCACCACTCCCCGCCCCGCGCCACTCACGAGCCGCCGCCGTGAGGAACATAACGTCGCCGCCGCGCGGCCGCCGCCGAGCCCCGCCCCCGCCACTTCCGGCCGGGCTGGCGGAAGTGCTTCCGGGCCGCGGGGGAGGGGGCGCGGTCGTTGTGTGCCGGCGGGGCGGGCGTGTGGCCTTGTGGCCGTGCGAGCGCGGCCCGGCGGGAGGGGGCTGCCCCGTGGGCACCGGAATCACGCTGCACAAAAGTGCCGGGCGGGGAGGCCGGAGGGGCAGTGAGGAGGGTGGTCGCGCCCTTATGAGTGGCGAGCGGACGAGCTGCCGACGAAGGACTTGTTCCCTGGTGCGGGGCGCGCGGGGCTGGCCGCTCCTCCTCCTCTTCCCGCCACTCGGGCTGCTGACAGAGAATTCGAGTCCTCGGACACGCAGCAATGAGCATGGTGGTAAAAATGTCAGCCTGACGTGCTCAGGTGGAAAACGGCGTGGAAGGTACGATGGCGTGTGGTTAACTTGACGCTGCGTGGCAGGAGAACGAGCGGCTCGGCCCGTGGAGCGGGGTGGCAGGGCAAGGAAAGCGGTGTCGCCCACGTTCATTGTTTCCAATCGAGCAGTACCACGTGCATCTCTTAATGGTGCAACATTTCGATCCTTACTGTCTGGCCTTCCAAATACAATTGGAGTAGTCAACTCATCTGCCCGTGAATATCAGAGTGAGAACTTGCAGACGTTCGATGGTAAAACGTGAGTGCCGTGAGGCACTGCCCTGTGTGTGAGTGCCTCTGGTAGCGCAGACTGAAGTGCAGCGGAATTGCCAACCTCCTGACTTCTCTGCCAGGAATGTAAATCAACATTAAAGATGATTTTTAAGAGAAATAGCAAGTTAAACATTTGTACAAACACATCATCAAATAGAGGTTGCACCGCCTCTCTCTAAACCTCTTGCCTGCTGGCAAAAATAAAACTGTTCCAGTGACATTTTCCCTGCTCTGCTGTGACAAGGGCTGCATAAATATAGACACCGTGGATTAGAATAGACTTCAGCAATCTCCATCTTCCTTTCTAGCAGCCGCTTCTGCAGTTCCCCATAGCTATGGGTGAAAAACAGGGAGCCTAAGGTGGGTACGTATGGGAGAGGGTGACAGAGTAGCACATCCCTGATGGCAGCAGTCTTTGCTAACCCTGGGGAAGAGATGTGCTGGCTGGAGGAAAGGAGAGAGTCAGGATTTCTGACCCCAGCTCTGTTACAAATTTCCTGTTTTGGCTAGGTTAAGTCATGTATGTGAGGATCTTTGATGGCATGTGCAAGGAAAATGCAAATCTTTCCTTCAACTTTGCCTACAGAAAGCAAGAAGTGTGATGAACTGTAATGCCAGCCTAGATCATTTTGACGCTTGCTTAAAGAGAAGTCACTCATGTCTCCAGTGGAGAAGCTGCTGGTGCCAAACCGATCAGTGTCACTCAGAATCAAACACAGCATCTTTTTTTTTTTTTTTTTTTTTTTTCTCCAGCTAGAACAACAGTTGGTTGTGTTATAGGCTAACTGATTTTCTTTTCCACTTTTATGCTTTACATTCTAGGGCAAATCCTCTGCTACTATCAGGAGCTGAAGAGGTTGCTGCTCTTTGCCAAGAAAGTATAGTCAGGTTGCTGTCACACATAGGACAGGCAAGGACTGATATCCAGGGCCAGCAGGAGTGATGCTTCTCTTGTGTGCGTGGCACTTCAAGTAAGTCATGACAGGAAAACGTCAGAGCAGAGGAGAGAGGGGCAGCAGGCTGAATGTTTGCAAAGTAAATGTCCTATATTGGTACTGTATTTTTATATGAGTTACCGTCAACTAATGCACGTAAAAACCAAATGCTGGAAACGAGAACAACACTGTAGAGCCTGGGAAAAGCTCCACCAGTCCTTCCTGGTTACCCACAAAAAACAGGCAAACAGCTAACTAAGCCAAAAAATGCGTACAGCTCGGCGAGCATAGTTGTAAAACAGCCAAGCTATTTTCTCCTCCTCCTTGCTTTCTTTTCCTCAGCTAGTTACAACCTAGCAGGCATCTTGCTGTCCGTGCTGCTGAACAAACACAGGCAAATCACTCATCCCAGACAACAAATGGATTTTTACATTCTTTCTGCATATGTGAATCCATTATCCTAAGAAGGCCCAGAAGAAAGTGGGCATTAGCTTAATGCAGCTCTGAAAGAGGAACTGTCCGGGTCAGGAGAGCAGGAATGGTGGAAAGAGCTGTCTGATTGCTAAATCACTTTAAGCCAGCAACCAAATCCATTTCAGCTGCTGACCTGTTTATGGCTGGTTTGAAGTGAGCTGGCAATGGCTTTTAGCCCAGTTCTTAGAGGTGTCCATGTCACAGTATCACAGTATTTGCTGGCAAACTTGCAAACTGAAAAGCAAAAAAAACAATGGGCTTGCATGTTTCCCTTCTCTCCCTGAGAGCTCAGTCCCCCCAAGTCAGATATGGGGCACTGGTACGTGGTAGGTCAGGGCATGGCTCCGTGTTCAGAGCTGTACCTGTTCCCTGCTTGTTCTCATCAGTGCACTGGTGAATCTGTTCCTGGAGCTCCTTTCTCCAGCACTGACGTCATTCACATGTGAAGGGGGAAGAACAAAGACGGCGCTCGCCTGTTTTCTTGTGTGATTTTTCAATACCCGTTTCCCAATCCCGACCTCCAGAGCAACAACATCCTTTCAAACCGCCCCCTCTTGAAATGCCACAGTAGCCAAACAGCTGCAAATCAAAACACCTTGTAAACAAGTGACTGAAATCCCGTGGGATGCCCGAGGGCTTGGGCACGTCTCAGAGTGATTATAGTTCCTGCTATACAAATTAGAGTCCATGTCGCACAGTTCGTGCCAACTCCAAGCTCTTGCTTTTTATTTTTAGACCTATTTGTTGAAAGGTTGTCATGATATAAAGAATGACGTTTGGTATCAGTGATACACAGATAAAATTAGATGGTAGCCGGAAGTGATCATACGGCTAATCCTCCCTCCTGTGACTTTTACCACGGAATTTGGGATCCTATGGGCCTCAAAAACAGCTTTTCTCTGAGTGCATTTCACTTCTCAGCAGGCAGCTGAAAAATTGGTCTCACACGGGTTATGTGTGGTAAGTCTCACGCAAAGAAATGAGTGTCACTGTCATTGCTTATGCCAACATCTGGGACCATCTGGCATACTAAAGACAACATTGTCTACGTTTGTACAGCTGATCGAAGGTTGTTTTTAGCAAGCCTCTAAAAAATCTTCCCTTTTTGGGCCAGCAGAGCAAGGCTTTTAATTTCCAGGCATGGTGTTTTGTATGCAGAGCAGCTTAAGTCATCAGCAGGGCCCAATCCTGAGATTGTTAGTCCCACAGACATGTCATCCACACTGATGCTGGAGACTTTATTCCTTTCTTTGGAAGAAGAGGCTGCCAAAGGGGAAGATGGGGTAAAAGGTACACTGCATTACTTCTCTAAAGTAGAGCTTCTCATTTGTTTTGGCTTTTTTTTTTCTTCTCAACTTCAGATTGCTTTTGTATCTTGTAAAATGGGAAAACACAAGATCTAACTAGTTAGTAAACACTTCCTACTGCTTAGAAACACATGAAATTCAAATAGGTAGCATACCTATGCTATATATGCTATACCTATTTGATGCTAGGGCATCATCAGATTAATTGGGATTGGTTGCAATTTAGCACAAAGGAATTTGTGCTGTGGTATTGTGGCAGAGAAAGAGTGTATCAAAAGCACAGCTGTGAATCAGTTGCTTTTAAGCAGGATATGTAAAGGTGAATGGAGAAAATAAGTATGCAGTGTGAAGATGTGTGACACTAATGGATTCTTTTCTTCCTGTGGCTTATTGTAGGAGAAGTTCAAGTGCCTGGACAGGTGCTTGGACAAGTGCCTTTTGTGCCAAAAATCTGTTTGATTGGTGTCTAACTCCTATCACTTTGTGGCAAGAGAAGTTACTTCAGCTTTAAGCTAGAGTAGGCAGCTCTCTGGGAAAAGAAATCCACCACGTTCCAATGTGGCAAGTGGAAGTGGTCCACCTATTTTTTAATTCTGGAAAAAAAGTTATTTTCTTCTGGAGAACTAGAAGAAGGATAGGGCTTCCTGAGTGCCTCCCTAGAGACTTTCGCACTTGAAAGAAGGTCGTAGGGTTCAAAGCTGTTTCTCAAGTTCTGCAATGTAGCATTTCTGTGATGTCACGCATCATTATAAACAAGTTATTTCATTCAGTGTTTTGGGAAATGATGGGATTGGAACAATACACCCACAGCAGTTCCCTCCCTGATTCCAGCCGGCTCTTTAGCGAACTGCTTATGAGCTGTACCTGGCTACATGATGTGTGTCTGCCCATGTCTGGTTACACTCTGGGTAATTGTATGGGGTGGAGGGGTGAGAAGGAGGTAATTGTATGGGGTGGAGGGGTGGAAGGAGGAGAGGGACATGCATTTGCAGCGGTGTGTCACTTGATGGCTGCTTAGTGTAAGACCCTTGGGCTCAGAAGGCCCTGGGGCTGCATTGCTGCAAGCACTGAATGCATCATCTCTCCTTTTCCTATCCTTGTGCCACTGAAATCAGTCAGTCGCTTACATCTGATGGCATAGCAGAAAAAAAAAGCATGCTGGTGTTCCATTCACTTCTGTTTAGCTCAGGTTTGAGGTAGACATGAGATTAATACTTTAAAAAAAAAAAAAGGAACGAGTGCTAGAAATGAGGTGCAGCAAGGCCCATGTAGAAATCTGTTTGAACCCATAGACACATAACCGTCTCTAGCTGGTTCCCTAAACTTTCTTCATCTGCTGTAGTCTTTCTAGACTCATTTTACCTAAAGACATTTGTTTTAAAAGTCGTGATGATGCACAAAGAGTATGGTCTTTGTGACCAAAGTCACCTCTGCACAATCTCTGGAAAATGACTGTCTTCCCTCTCTCTGTTTCATACGCAGTAGCCACCTGGCCTTGTCCTCTAACATACTCAGCTGTGAAGACAGAGTCTCCTGCGCAGGGGAGGCATTCCATTTGGTCAATAAGATTAGCACAAAAGAATTACTCTTAGGTGGCCTGTTTTAAGGAATTTGTTGATCTTGTTTGATTTGTCACTTTTTAGCCCATGTTAAACTCTTCGATGCTGCTAAACTACTCAATCAAATAATTTAAAGGTAGCTCCAGCTATCTGGCTGGAAATATTCCTTTCCTGACAAAGAACAAGATATTTCTTCACATTGCTAGATAGATAAAATCTGCTTCAGCTGCCCACAAAACAAAACTAGGCTGAATCATGTTTTCATCAGAAGTTGCCCTACCCAAAGGAACCAGAAGAACATTGCAACTTCCTTTTTTTCCACCAACTCTTACAACATAGGCTCCAGTTTCACCTTTACAGAAAAAACTGTTCTTTCTATGATGGTTGATAAGAGATATGTATGCATATATGATGCAGATCTGGTCTGTAGCACCTGACCTGTCCACACATTCTGTACCCTCACACAACCCAGTCCATCCCCCAGATGGAGTGGAAGAAGTGGGTTGGTATTCCCAGTCCTGCCTTTCAGTAGCTTCTGATGACCTAGCTCTGGATAACTGAACAGATCTCACCACTTCCCTGGTATAAAAGTTCTCTTGCATCATTTTGCAGTCATGATGCTCCCATTGAACTGTGCACATACTGCAGTATTTAGCTGTCTGTAGTAACCTCATGCTGGTATGCAGAAAGATGGTCTCAGCTCCTCATGCAAGCCATAAAACAGAAGGATTTACTGGAGAGGGAGTAAGTTTGTATTTAAAGTGTCTACAGAGCTGAATCAATTCTCAGGGTTTTCGAGCTGCTGAACAGCCAGAGGCAATCACTGCACTTCTCTCTTTCCAGTTCCAGTCTTTTACCTCTTCTAGTCAGAGGCTGTTTTCTGCTTTCTACTTTTACAGCCACTAGTTTTGTAGGGTACCACCACATCTGATCATCTACACCAATGTCCTGGTATACGTGACCTTCCCCTAGCAGGACAGTCTGCTAGAACACCTCCCCAGCTGCCCTCCTGTCTGTGATATCTGTAGGAGAAATACAGGCAAAATTCAAGTTAGACATACATCTGACACCAATTGCATCTGGCAACCACTCCAGCACTGCAGAATTCTGCCCCAGGACTTCTGGTTATTTATAATTCAGCATCAGATTCGACCCAGTTGCTCCTGGTTAGAGATCGTTTTGCAATAACAAACTAAGATTACATGAAGAGCTTAAAAAAGAATTTCACCCCTCCAGGGCTAAATTACTTCCACTTATATACAACTGTCATATCTTAAAAGGGCAAACCCAGAAAGCTAACACTGAAAAATGTAACTCTACGACTGAGGTTATCTGCCTGCCCTCTCTGGGCAAACACATCTCATATCTGTAAGGCCCTTCCTAGCAAAAACCAAAATTCAAGCTAAGTGGATGGAAGTTTTATGTGCAGAGTAGGAAACAACAGCTTGGGAGGAGGTGTATTTGAATGTAGAGCCAGATAGAAAGACAAACCTCAAACACCATACGACTGCTTTTACAGAGCATCTCACTCATGTCTGGTAAAATCACTCCATGCTCACCCAAACTTTGCAAACTACTAATCACCAACTGAGAAAGGCATGGTGACGTACATGTTACGGTAGCATCCGGCACTGGCAAGCAATCCACTTCCATATGTAGCTCAGAATCTATTCCAGACATTTTATAACTGATGTATTTTTCATGAAATAAAATGGGAAAGCAGGGGAATAAAAACCTTCTGTAACAACTCACCTGTCACGGCGAAGGTCTCGTGCTGATCAATTCACCTTTAGTGAACTGAATCAGGACAGGAACATGAAGGTCATGCTTTCTCTATATTCTTTGTGAATATTCCCAGTCATATAAGAGAACAGTCACGCTTCACATAGCAGCTCTATTCAGCTCTGATTATATACCTGGATTAATAATTGAGGCACTTGAGGGGCAAATGTGTTTCCCTGAAAACACCAGAACTACAGAGGGAGATGTGGAGCTGCTCACAGCCCTTTGTTCAAAAAATTTCCTACAAAGAGGATTGTACTCACTTCAGAGACCTGGAGGACGCAGGCTTTATTGTCAGCTTTCCTTTTGCCCTCTTTTTCTGTGATGGCAAAGGAGAAAAGTGGACAGGAAGAAAGCAGAGATAAGGAAAAGAATAAACATTTTGCGCTGTCTTAAAAAAAAAACAACAAACATCTTATTTACATAGAAATCCTGGGTTATAGACTTTCATCCAAGAAAAGAGAATTTCCATGTTTGTTTGTTTGTTTGTTTTAGTTCTGCCTATGGAAAATACCTCCTGTCGAAGCATTTTTGGTGGCTTCTTTCTTTTTTATATGTGAAGTCACAATCCAGCACTGTGTATCTTCAGAGAACACCGAGCCCAGTGACTAACCTTGACAAGAATCCTGGTCTATTCTTCAGCCACAGTGTTATCTTAATCTCCAGCTGCTATGATTGCATGGGATGGTTCTCTCCTAGTTTGGGCTCTGTGTGGTCCCTCTCAGGAATGACATGAGACCAAACTGTCAGAGAAAGTTGCTGAAACTCTCCTTCATTGAGAGAGTTAAAAAATCACTATTTATACCTCCCTGCCATTTGCTTTCCTCTTCCCATTAAGCGTGCTAGTATTTCACAGAATCACAGAGTCAAAGAGGTTGGAAGGGACCTCTGCAGATCATCTACTCCAACCTCCCTGATAGAGCAGGTTCCTGAGGGTAGGCTACACAGGAAAGCATCCAGGTGGGCTTTTAATATCTTCAGAGAAGATAACTCCACAACCACTCTGGGCAGTCTGTTCCAGTTTGATACCATTGACTTCGTGGGCTGCGAGAGACTTACTGTAAGAGCCTGAGTGATTCTCCAGGGTGCACATCCCTGAAATGTTGTCACTGAATTCCACCCTAACTTTACTGCCAAATAATTCTCAGAGGTGTTGCTGTTGGATGTGTGGAAATGCTGAGGCACAGCAGCAATGAGTTCAGCTTATAAGGAGCTGCTTGGTCCCTTGGTCAAATGTGCTCAGCTGTGAGTGGAAGTGAGAGTGTCAGCAGTCCTTTGTGAGGCCAAGGCTGTGTGGCCAGTACCCTTCCAC